CATAGCCTAAGGGTCCTGTCCTTCTTCTTAGCAAATAGCATTAAGGCGCCCCAAGGTGAAATACTCAATCTAATAAAGCCCTTGTCCAACAATTCTTGTAACTAGACCTTAAGTTCTTACAACTCTGTCGGTGCCATCCTATGCGGCATCATAGAAATAAGGGATGCACACTCATCTAGGAAAACATCCATATACTCATAAACTACCTGAAGTAAACCCAACTCCTATCTCGTCTCGTCCTCAAGTGTAAGGCTCATAAGTCAACCCATCAACTATCATTGTCAATGAAAGTCATATAAGGCTTAGGGTAAAACATCATGTTTTTCTCCCTAAAATTTAAATTAGACACCACTAGTGTATAAGCAATAACCCTTTTCCAATCACAATCGATGACGACTCGGCGTGGCGCTATCCAATCCATCTCGAGGATGACATCAAACTCCAACATGTCCAAGACCCTAAGGTCTACAGTTAGTAGAATCCCCGAGATCTCTAACCCATACCCCTGACATATCTGATCAATACGAACCCTAACTCCTAGGGGAGGACTCACTTGCAATGGTCTTTCTAAGGTCTCAACCTCTAAACTCAAATCATTTACACATGATGCAGTTATGAATGAATGAATGAGATGCACCTAAATCAAATATTTCTCTGGCCTATAAGCGAGAGAGTAGAAATGTACCTTAAATCACTGACTGATCTACCTACTAAGTCTAAGGTGTGATGGCATAGACTCACCCCTGGGTCCTTGCAGTCCCTGTCTGTAAGCCTTATCCTCGGCCTCAATCTGAGCCTCAGCCCAAACCCTGGGCCATCCGGCCTGATTGCGAAATCTCCGCTTCTGAAATGGTAAGGGCATGTGTAGCACACTGGAACTAGAACTAGCCTCCTTGGCCCATGGTGGGATAGAGTGGAGTGAAAAATATATATGGATGCCCCACTAATGACTGGGACTGAGATGTCTCATAGCTCTCAGATTCCTGCCTCTGAGAGAAATTCTGTTTCAAATGACTTGGTTGGTGGCATATGAAGCAAATCCTCTAGCCGACCTAATAGGTGGCCCTAAAATTTCTCCCACCTTGGGGGGGTTGACCCTAGCCTTGGCTTTGATAGCCTCAGCCCTGCCCTTGATATCCTTGTGAGGTAGAAGAGGATTGACCCTCTTTCCTTATGAGGTATTTTGCTTCTTTCCCGAACTAGTAGAAGAGGATTGACCCTCTTTCTTCTTATCCTTAACACCTGCCTCTCGAATGCTCTTGGTGTCTTCTACTTCCCTCCCAATAGCCATGGTCATCTCGAGCATCGAGTCTAGGTCTTTTAGGCGGTGGTCCACAATCTTTTTCTGAATGGACAACTTCAAACCATCCTCGAACCTCCTCACTTTGGCCAAGTCTATGGCCACATAGTCTTCGACAAAATGGGCTTGCTCAGTGAACTTAGTGATGTACTTCATCATTATCATGTTCCCTTGCTTTAAATCCAAGGATTCCCGGGTTTTCACTTTTCGAACAGTCGATGGAAAATACTTGTCCATGAAGAGCTCATGAAACTCTTCTCATGTCATCGCCTCAAAGTTCTTTGAGGCCTTTTCCCAATTCTACCATAGATGGGCATCTGCCTCAAGCTAGAATGTTGCTAGCCTGATCTTAGTGGCATTACATATGATCTCTATAGCCTCGAAGATCTTGTCTACTTGTTGGAACCAATTGTCAGCCACCATTAGATCCGACCCTCCTATAAAAGTCGGTGGTTTATGTGCCTTGACTTTTGGAGGTTGTTCGAGCCTCCTTGACCCACTTTGGCGCTAGCTTATGCAAAGGTAGCCGTCATTGTGCGTATAACATCCATGAAGGTTTGTTGAGCAAAGGCCGGCGGTGGTTAGTTGTTGTTCCGTCCACCCCCTTGGCCATTCCGGTGTCCATTTCCTTTATTTTTCATCCACACACATGTAAGATAGCAATAGACCACTAACTTAGTACACCAAGGCTAGGGGTTGAAGTTAAAACATTGAAAAAATTCCTTTTGTCTCAAGTAGGAGGCATGCCACCTACCAATAGACGCCCAAACTGTAAGCTTTCCCATTCTTTCTCTTTTTCGACCCCCAAGGTTATGTTTTATAACCCTAGTGTCTCATTTTCACTCACATTTAATCATGCATATAATCACTTATCACACAACATATAGCATTTAATATACATACACATGTAGTGCACAATGGATCCAATGGCTTAACCCAATCTACCCTCAAGTTCAAGCTAATTTGAAACCTAAGCTCTAATACAAAGTTGTGACGCTCCAAAATTCAGGGGTCCTGTCTCAACCTGTTAATCACCTATCAACACGAGGAAGTACAAATGAATGTTGTATAACCTGACACCACATCATTACATCCCCTTTACCAGGATCATAACCAAAATAAAGTTTGGGCAAAGTATCCCTTGTATCGGAAAACTACCAAACGCATAACCTATACACATATCAACCACATGACCATTCCAAGGTTCAAACCCCAATAATTAGGATTTATTATTTTCCATTTACATCATTCATAGATGGTCGTTAAAAAAGTGAATGCCCCTCAATGTTACATTTTAAAATTTTAAGTTTTTGGGAGGAAGTAGCAGTACCTCGCATAAGTGGTACCGGTACCTAGGCCTTATGTTTGCCAGGTACGGGCACCTATGTGACTTGGTACCGGTACCTGAGTCCACTGTTTGCTAAATATTAGTACCTATTTATCCTGGTACCGATACCTGAGCCCATTATCCATCGGGGTACCAGTACCTGAGGTCTAGGTACTGGTACCTGAGCCCATTTGAATCCAGGTTCTAGTTCATGTAAGCTTAGGTACCGGTAGTTGGGTCAACCAACAGCATGGTTCCAGTACCTGAGAACATAGGTACCAGTACATGAGCCTAGAATTTTTTCAATCTATCCAATTTTCAACTCTAAACCATCCAATCTCATTCTATATTCATTTACATCAAAACATTCTCCAATAGAGTCCCATTATATGCTATATTACCAATGTACAAGTTCAAAACAAATTTACATATTAGATTTACAAATTGCAATTCAAAAGCCACATTCCAGCTTTGTTATCAATAATGACCCAAATGAGGACTGTCTATCGGCTTCTGTCCAACACTTGAAATATGTTCCCATAAAGGGTGAGTCATGTTTAATAGAGTATCTCTTAAGGAGACTACTCCTCAACCCAGTTGTATATGAAATGTCACATGCAATTCAACAATTCAAGCATTAGTTCAAAAACATACGTTTCATAAATGAATGTTATACTTTTCATGTCATGTCATGAGATGGAACTCGTGCATGCAATGCAAACCCGAGCCCTCCACCGGTTCCCATAACACATGTCATATCATGCACATGCTTCCAGGCATTCCAAGCCCCTGCCATTGACGTTACACATCCAATGAACATTTTATAAAATCCTTGTATTTTTCTTGGGATGGATATTTATGACATTTGTGGACTTTCACTAACAGCTCCGTGTATGCCGACACACTTTATAGACTCAATACCAATGGAAGTCCGTATCTGAAGTCACCAGGTCTAGGACCTGAGGAAGAATCTAGCCTGTCTTACTAACCCTAACACATATTTTCAATGAAACCTGTGCGATTCAGTCGAACCTAAGTCCAACATTTTTGAGCCCACGTGTTAACCTACCAAGGATGATTTTTGATTAGAACCATACACACACACCCCTATACTCATGTCGAAAGCCCACTATTACAATATCATGTTCATCATATCATACGCATATTATGAACATATTCAATGTCAAGGAATTTCATCATAACAAATCATACAAGAATTGGTTTAAACATTCTTATACCTATTTTCATATTCTAACAACCTTAGTTATGTGTTATACATGAGATTTTATCTCTGACGCTCTACCCATTTCAACCATACGTTAGAAATAAACCTAGTTTGGAAAACCCTATCTCTTGTAACATATATTTGCGTAGAAGACATCCCAAAGATCTCAAATCAAGCTTTCAAAATTCGATCTCGAAAATCTCATCATTGAGATCTTGGAGAAACTCACAATCTTTAGTATTTACATGTAGCTCTCATCATGTAGAACAACTTTATCTCTTAGCTCAATAAGATCTAATGGTCGGATGATCGTAGATTGGACGAAGAAGATGAGGAGAAGCCCTAATTTTCTCTTTCTTCTTTCTCTCTCTTTTTTTGGAAATTGCAGGTGTAGAATGGAAAAAAAAATTATTTTTCCCTTTTCATACCCCTTGATTACTTGGTCCACAACGCGCCACACGTCCATCTTTTTCTGATCAAAGTTTGTTCCAAATCAATTTAAATCTAGTCTCATTTTAGGTTCAGTAAATTTTTATTAAACTAACTTTAAATTATTTCCTAAGTTTCGTAATTAAATCCTAAGTGGGGTGGCAACATTGGTGGTGATTGTGAAGCGTTTTGTAGATAACTCATTTTAAAAAAATTAAAGTTATTTTTGTTTACTTTTATTTATCTATAGTACTTATAAATGTCAGCATCTATAAAAAAACTTTTAATTTCATATGTTATCATTAATTATTACTATAATACCAATTATACCCTCACATATCTCTACTAATATTATTTGTTTTCTTCTATATCCTATTAGCCCATAAATTTCATTTGAATCAAAACTCTTCTCATCTTTTTGTGTGTTCTTATTTACATTTTCTCTCTCAAAAAGATAAAGTGGGGAAGCATCGAGTCATTGGAGCACATTTTGATTCGAAGGATTTTTCACATAGGTTACAGAATACAGAATAGTAAGCAAATTGCATGCACCATTTGAGATATACAACATTTTCAATTTTTCATCAGCTAATAATATCAGATTGCCTTTGTTTGTCTATCTCTATTTCTTTTTCCCCTCAACCAATTTGTACAAGTAAAGAAAATGTATGAAGGGAAATGAAACCAACAGGCTTGGAGAAACTATACTGCAATGGCGATCACTGCCTCTTTGCTAAAGTCTTTCTCAAACCTTTGATAATCTTTCGAAACCACATCAAGTTCATGGTAGCAAGCGCAGACGGCACAGAAAATACCAAGAGAAAACCGAATGTGTGCATCTTAGTGACCTGCTAATCATTCAAGGATCTCTTACTGTTACTACAATTTATTCTGGGCGCAAATCCAGAACATCACAAGGATCATATGAAATATTCTATAAAAGAAATACAATTCTAAGGGAACCATATTGTGTTTGTGTGTGTTAGAGAGAGAGAGAGAGGGAGGGAGCGATGGGGATGGGGTAAATTGTTTTTTATAGTGCATGAGAAATTGCGAAACATAGCATAATTCTCCACAAGAGGGGAGATATTCCCCACCATATGGTGAAATTATGCTGCTGAGATACTATCAACTAACAGATGAAATCAGTAATTCACAAGAATGTTGGGCCTATGAAGTGGAATATTCAGGAGGCAATTACCTGATCATAGTGTAAGTGAACATGGTAAAACAAGTAAATGAACAGCAAAATTCTAGCAACCTGCAAGAAAAGTCGGACAGAGAGAAGTTAAAACTAAAACACCGCCATACTCAGAGTGGTGAGGATCATAGAGCCCATCACCTAGGGCACGCCATTTGATTGACAAGTTTAATTAGGCTTTCCTTCAACCAAAGAACAATGGTGGCATGGTTGGCAACTAGATTGTCTACAGCACGGTATATCGAGTGGTAAGTGCACCCATTTTTAGTTCCTCTATGATGGGAATACAATATGATTTTTACTCACCAGCCAAGCAAAAAATATGACTACACCATTGATTAGATATGCGTTGGACCTCTTCAAGCCAGCCATATCGAGGTACCTGCACGAGACCCAAAAACATATGTCGAACTGAACTCAGGCTCAATCTATTGTGAAAGCTTCAGTTGTCCAAGACATACCATCTCATGTTGATCTCTGGAGTTGTCACCTCAGAGATGAGTACCATAAAGGTATAAAGCTGCCCCTCCCCAGTAAACATGGCATATGCCACAGCAATTCCAGAGAGAGAGTGATGGATGATCTGAATCAAACAAACCATATAGTGAGTCATATAGTACCATATAGACATAATGTGTATCTCTGAAAAGCTTTCCATATGCAGCCGTTTTGTGTTTAGAGTGTATTTACACATCAAATTGAATTTTTGAATGAAAAATTCACCCTCACCACACTCAACAAAAAGCGTTATACTCCCATCTCATAACCTAATTCTAGCAGAACATTAACTTAGCTAAATAAGGAGACTGCAGATATGTACGACCCACAGTAAACATGGTTCACTGTTGCAGCTAGCATAAGAAACAGGGTGTGGGATACATGTTTTAAAAATCACAATTCAGATGAGGGGTAGACAAATCTGTGCCATCTGGATCAGCATTTCAGTGGCATAAATGACCTATGATAAGCCTTAGTATATTCTATCATAAACAATATACTTACATACTCTAATCCACCCAAGGAAGGATACAGCCAACAAATCATTCCAAGGTCTGCAAGGAAGTACCCAACAGATACCTGTCAGAAATCATTAGAGTTATTGTATGAGGACTGATCACAAAAACAACATATACGAGTCTACTGAAGATCAAATCATAAGTTTGCTTCAACAAATGGATTGCCAGAGGATTCATGCCAAATGTCCCAGAATAACGCAGAAGCAGCCTGACAACTGATTCCTATGTCGATTGGCAAAATCATAGTAGTATTACAATGACATAGAATAACAGACTCTTGCTTCTTGATAAATCTTAAGGGCATGTACTTAAGATTTATGGCAATGAATAAAACTGCAAAATCAAGAACTAGGGGAGGAAACATGTGTCGACACAAAATTCCTTAGCAAGCAAGTGAAAATGGATTTTAAGAGCTCACCTTTTATGGGTGTGAAGCAATACTTAGTTTTGCTTTGAAAATACCTGCTTTGTTGCACAATAACCCATCGACTCAATGAAATAAGGACACTTATAAGTTAGAACATAAACGATACCAGTGACCTTTTGCTTAGTTCATATCAGGGACTGTGATCCACTGGTGGCGTAAGGATTTCAGCTTTCAATGAAGACACTCATATGTGGAAAAGTGGTGACTATCTCCTTAGAGTGAGGTTGGAATCATTACCCATAGGATGGATGAGTAGCATTGTAGGGAAAATCTTGCAATCCATTGCATTCAAGGGGTAGATGATGTAATGCCAAAGACACATATAGTATATCTGAAATAAACATACAACAATCTACCCTGTATTCAAAAAGAAATGAGTTTCTCAATAGTAAGTTTCTGACAAAAATACATATTTCATACTGTGGTAGACTTTTTCTAAGATACCAGCCAACCTAGCTGGCAAAGTCTCCCAATGATTGCACAAGAAACCTAAGATCAAATCATGTCTTCTTCAGGTATTTTCCCCTTTTTCTTTTTTGTGTTGGATGCCGGATGGAATGGACGGTAGAAGGATACCTACACCACTTGTGTAGTCCACCATTCTCATTGGATCAAACAAAAAATCAATTGATTTTATGGTATCAGTAATGCCAGTGAGAATATTTCCTCTCCTCAGTATGCTTAATAGATTCAAAGCAATCAAAGAGATGGTCTGCTTAAATTCTGTAGTTTAGATGCTGTGAAGATGAAGCGACAGATTGCAGGAAGATCACTGAAGTTAATAGCAGAGTAAAACAGGACTTACCCCCAGTGTAAAAGTTGAGAGTGGTGAGCTTCGGAACGTAATAAGGCCATCAAGATGCTGGTCAGAAAAAAGATCTGACCCGAACACAAAGTACAAAGACATACTTGCAATAAAAATGGCATGAACACTGGAGATGCCACTGCACAAATATTTAGTAAGAACATTAAGAAAAGAATCACAAAAGAATGCAGAACAAAACAAGCAGTTCATATGTATTCACCGGTTGTTCCATTCAATCCGTTGCATTTTTGTAAGGCTAGTATAGCTCTTACAGGAAAAAGCACTGATCAGCTGAATAAGATCGTAGACCTGTGAAGGCCAAAACTAACAGAATAGGTGAAGCAAATATCATAAGGGAAAAATATGTAACTCTACAAGATAAGTCTGTAGAAGTTCAAATAAGAACAATTTTTGCTAAAGATACAGCATGATATATGAGTATACTTGTCACAGAGTGACAGAATAAGGCCTAGACCACAAGGGGCCTATTCATCAAAGATGTCTCAATTTTTAATAGAGAGAAAGAACTTTTTCCTTTTCTTTTTTCTCCCTTTCAATTAAGGAAAATGCATAAAAGATAAAAGGAAGGAAAAGTTTGAACATACCATTTTGCATGCAAATAAGCCTCCAAGGATGGAAGTGTATGGAATAAAAGGATCTGCCAGTAAGTAGTCTTTAACCAGAACTTTAGCCTGATTTTGGTAAGACTTAAATGCCATAGCTGTCTAAGAAACTGTTATTTCAACAAGTTTACAAGACCATACATTCAGTCCGCTTGTACAACACAATAATCCCCCACATGTACTATCTGCATACAATCCTGGAAACAAGTATCAATAAAAGAAGCTTTACTCAGCAAGTTGTGTATCAGAAATGAATGCAAAACACGCAACGTATCACATTACCACCTTCCACATACATTGCCTCAAAAGAAAAACAATAGTTATATATCAAATAATTTAAAGATATTCCCCTAGTAGTAGTGGGTTAGCCAAACTACATGTGCCCTCATAATGCTATATTCTTCTTCTTTTTTTCCATTTTTTCTACTCCATTTTTTGTGATACTTTTACTTCTTTTTGCAGTAAACAGTTAGCACCAAATATGCAATGCAGAGATTTAAATGATGTAATAAAATCTCAAAGGTATCAGAACACCATTTGCATCTTTAATTCAAAAAACTCGCGATGGCAGTTAAGGGAAGAAAATACATAGAATAGAAGACGGAGGCTTGTATATGACGGTGATATAGACTTATAAAAGAAGGTGAAGTTGATGCCTACTGTCACAACCTCCATATGCTTGAGGCACATCTCAAATTCAATCATTTGTGAAATATTAAACCATCAAAAACTTGGCCATTGTTAGGAAAATATTCGGCAGAGCTCGGATAAAATGTGGGGGGGTTCTAAACCATAAAAAAAGATACAATAACGGAATTTTGAATATGTTGGAACCAGGTGCACTTTTCTAATTACTACTGTCGGTCGATAGTAGCAAGGCCCAGCTGCGACTTTCTAATTGCTACTCCTGGTCAGCAGTAGCACTGCCCAGCTGCTACTGTCCAGCTGCTCCTACCAGTCGGCACTTGCCAAACACCAGCGTACTTGCAACCACCAAGTCTCAACTACTAAGCTAAGGTCCAACCAATGCCTTTTGACAAGCACATCTCTTCCTTCAATTTAGGACCTAGTATCCTAGTGATATTCTACCTCAAATAACCAGGAGCTGATGATAAGGACCGGGGACCAAGAATCCTAGTCTAACTCGGCTCCGAACTTCTAGGACCTGGTGACCGATTGAGCCAATCAACCTAGAGTTCTGGTTACTTTTGGACATATCTCCCTATTACTATAAATAAAGGCCTCAAGGTACTAGGTAATTCATTCAATCTAAGCCTATTCACTCAATACTTCTCTCTAACTTGCGATCTGACTTAAACATCTGAGTCGTTTGGCAACCTCCGGCCATCGGTTCACCTACGTGTTCTCTTGTCTTGTATATTCCCCGAGGCTTCTTCACCACCTTCTTTATCCTTATGAGATGGTTACTCTTTGTATGAAATTATTCCCCCACAATTGGCGTCATCTGTGAGAAACGACTAAGTTTTCTACCAACCAAAAAGCCTTGAACTATATCCGTCGAGAAAGCCCTCGATCCGGGGACTAGTTGCATGGCACTTCCACTACCCCCAATCCTCGAAGATCCCACTAACTATGACCTTCAATTATCAAAGGATGTACTAATCCGTGATAGACAGGAGCACTCCAAAGAAAAACCTCCTTCTCACCACAACTTACTTGCCCTCGGTGCAGAAGGTGGTTTAGCTACTAAAACGGATTACCATAAGGCAATAAGGAAGAATATAGAGGAGCTAAAAGCCCTCCAACAAGGGCTCATTCTCTAAAGAGGCAACAAACTTGCTAGCCTGGTTAGACGCCCACCTCGCCAAAGCAACCACCACCAATGTCACTCGCATGAGGCTCAATCCACCTGCCACATGAGTAGGTTGCTGACAAGGAGCTATTTGACTCATAATTAAAATCGAAGTAGGTACTCACCTAGCCGCACTGCTTCTCAACGCTTTTTTAGGAACCTTTCACCTATAGACGGTATCCTCCTCATCATGTGGAGAAGACGGGCGACTCACATAGGGAACGCCAACCTAGGAAACAAAGAGAAAGGCATGGGAGCTCAACTCATCACTCTGCACGAGATGATTAGTATGACGACTATAGAAGAGAGAAGCTAGGCACTCTGAGCCAACTCGTGAAGTAGTCACTCGGCTACAACATAACTTCACTCAAGACAACCTCATATATTCAATGAAATAGAGGGCAAGGTAGACCCTGCTTAAGATGACCACAACTCCTTATGTTCGGTCCATAAGAGAAGTCGAGCCCCCATGTACGTTCTCTCCTCTATCCTTTGAGTTGTATGATGGTAAGTTCGATCCCTTACTCCACATAGGGGCCTTTACTAATAAGATGACACTCTGGACGAGCAATGAGGCGTTGAGGTGCAAGATATTCCCCCAAGCTTGGAGAGATCAACTCTTTAGTGGTTTTATGGGATACCCGTGAACTCTGTTTTCTCTTGAGAACAGCTCGTCGGGGAGTTTGTCTCTCAATTCATAACCAATAGTCGAGAGTCAATGATAATTGACACATGTTTAGCATTACGCTAGAAACTGGAAACACTCTATAAGGATACTACAAGGTATTTGAAAACCTATACCGACATAGAAAAGTGCAATGAGAGGACCGCTATTGTAACGCTCCAAAACCCACATTGGACGGCATCACAATCTAAAAACCATTTACATCATGAGAGCAACTAAATAAATTCATCATTAAAGAAATTTCATTCATCAAATATAACATTTACAATATTATCCCAAAGAATAGGCCAACCATGGCCATTACATCCCTAAAGAATGTGATCAACTATGATAATTACATCCCAAAAGAATCACATTTAAACTTGCAACAGAATAACAAAAGATTAGTCTTTACATAGTCCCAAAAGAAATTTTCTAGTCTAGCACCTAGGAGAATATAACTCTAGACATCCATCTCGGGATCCACGAGCCCGTCTAGTGGAGCTTCTCAATGTGTTGGCTCCTCAACCCCGAGTTCTTCCTCTAGACCACAATCTGAAAAATATAGTTTGTAGGGGGTGAGCACTAAGTTCTGTATCAACATTCCTCCGAAACTCCAACATAGTTTAGAAAACATGTAAAGCAAGTCGGTCTCATTTCGCAAATATCATATATTAATTTTTAAAATAAAACATGGACATTTAAACATATCTCAAGTTTAAGCAACAACAGTAATTTAATGCATAAGTGAAACCAATATACGACTAATAATCCATTCCACCATAAACCGTTTCTCCCAAGTTCTTGCGGTATTCCATACTTCCCAAAATTATTGTAGAAACTATTTCTGGTACAATGACCAATAACCCACAACTGTATTCGTATCTCTAGTCTGAAGTAAGATCTCACATGAATACTATTAAAAATATCCTGACCCACGTACAACCCACACAAATCCTCACAAGGATATCCAACCTTTAGAAAGGGCATGTGCCAACACTATGGCAATGACGTATCCAATCTAGGAGTAGTGTACTAACCTTTTTTCTACAATAACCCATGAGTGATAATGGTTTAGTCCTCGCAAGGCACTAACCCCACTACGAGTGGTAGGAAAAGTTCAAACCCGCACAGAGTAAGAAGGCGTCTACACACTCTATGATACCCGGTCAATAGTAGCCCATATTTATCCAACAATCACACAAGAGATACAATACCAACAATTTTCTCAAATAACAGACAATTCCATAAATCCCCAAATTTCACATGTACAATTGAAGAAAATGCAAGAGATCATCCTTAATATCATTTTGATACTCAACAGAAAACACTAAAGTTTTCGAAACTAAATTTAAGTGAATGTAGAGGGAGAAACCCATATTTCTCAAAAACTAGAATTTTAAATTAAGAAAAAGAGATTTCATGGGTATTCAACCCTAACTTTGTTTAAAACATAATAATAATTACAAAAAAATCAAGGAATGATGATTTTATAACATATATATAAGATTGAGTCAAAAAATACATATATACATGCCCTAATATCAATGAACAAGAATGGAAGAAAACTCTTACCTTGATGTTCTTGAAAATCTAGGATTTTGATCTTCTTAAAGTGAAAATCCCCTTTGATCTTGTATTTTTCTCTTCCTTTCTTACTCTCTAAGGTTTTCTAGGGTTAGAGATGTTGAAATGGGGCTAAAGGGGTTGTCCTTAAGTATTTATAGTGAAAGAAAAGCCGGCTATTCGCGACTTAAAATTTCAGATTTTTTCGAAGACCTTCGGGAAGGTTGTTTATCGACCTTCCAAAAGGTTTGGTTAATCGACAAACCTTTTCATTAACCTTCCGAAAGGTTTTACCTATTGGATAAACCTTTTACCTTAACCTTCCAGAAGATTTTTCATCGACCTTCCAGAAGATTTTATGTGTTTTATGACAAAAACTCTCTTTTTCATTTCCAATCCATTCCACAACCATCCAATTCCAACCCAAGCTTATTCAACATGCTTTTGTACATCAAACCTAGTTGGTACAAGTTCTATTACAATGAATTCATATATTTGCAAGCTAAACTAACTTTTAACTACTATTTCCTCAAATTTTTCCATATTAACATTTCAAAAGAAATAATAACTTGCTATATAAACCTACATACATGTATAAAGATAAAAGTGTGGGGTTTACAGCTATTGTCTCTTTTTGTTTGGGCCTCCGCTATTGTCTCTTTTTGTTTTCACCAAGCATTTGAAAAAGGGCCGTAACTTCAAAGGCTATCCATATTCTTCTAAATTAGGAAGTCAAACAAAACAGCTTAGACTTCCAAAAAAAAAACACATTTTCCAATAAACAAACAGGGCAAAAAAGCGTTTTGCATTCATACTTCAAAAATTTTTACAAGATCATGATCATTGAACGTTTACATCAGAAGTCGCAAAAAGACAAATTTCTTGAATGTTTCAGGAGGCCAGAAGTTAAGAAGAACTGGGAAGAGAATGCCTTGAAAAGAGCTCTGATGAAGTTGGACCTTGCAGCAGTTAAAGCAGCATGCCAGCCTTGACTAAAGCATGCATCTCAGATTTGGGGGAACTGCAGGGCAAGGTCATTTTCTGTCTTTTCAA